AGACTCAGAGGCTGCATGTGGCTGATCCTTAAAGGAGAGAGGGACAGAGACATAGTGGGTTGACCATCAAGTGGAGCCTCCCAGAACGCCCTCTGCTCGGATCGCCTGGCCAGCGGACCAGCTTAAGAGTCAACTTGGGAAGATCAAACAGCATGAACTGCCTTCTGCTCATCTTATCATCCTGCCTGGGACTGTAAGTGTGCTTGAGTGTCTGAGTGAGATTCCTCTCCCTTTCCAGTTTTAACTGAATAAACAAACCCTTTACACTCCTATGTGGTGATCCCTTCTCCTTAGTGTTTAAAGCAGTTGCAATCCACATCCCCTTGCAACATACAACACTATAACTTGCTGCCCTCGGGCGAGATGTTTTTTCACACCCCTCAGGGTATGTCTAAACTACACACCTCTTTCGAAAGAAATGAAGAGTACAAGATATTTTTTAAAAGGGGTGGGTTTTTTGAAAAAACCCTGTCTAGACGGAGGTTTTACTGTTGAAAAGCCCTTTTTTGAAAGAACGAGAGGCCACCATTATGCAAATGAAGTGCAGGAAATTAAAATCCTGGCTTCATTTGCAATATCAATCTGTCTAATTTACATCCCTCTTTCAAAAGAGGGATGTAGTCTGGACATGCCTTCAGTGAGAAAGTTGCAGCACAGTGAAGTGGTAATGTGGATAAGCCTTAACTCTAAATCAAAGAATAGTCAGATTCAGGGATCTATCAGCTCATTATGCAGATAGACCTATGACATGAAGTTTGAATAAAGATTCATATACAACATTCACCAAAGTTTGGAATTGATTGGAGCAGGGAGGTTCTGGTTCTGGACAATTCTTATTTATGATATATATCACTTTAAAAAACAATAGTGAAACAACTTACAACTTGCCAAGGACACTGCATTTAACATTAAAATGGATTTAAAGAAGAAAGAATTCTTGAGTTACAGATAAACATTCTACTCTCAGTTACACTGCTGTGAACCTGGTATAACTCAATTTCCATCAGAGGAATAGACATAGAATGTGGTCTATGACCTCTTACAAACAGCCTCTGCATAGGGCTCAGCGTCACTGTTGACTGCTCTCATAGCCTGCCCTACCACATCACAGATCTCAAGGCAAGATAGGAAACCAGTTGCTCTTCTCTTTACCCAGAGGCTATCTTCTCATT